GAAGTGGTTTGCCAGAGCCTCCTTCCTAGGGCAGAGCCCAGCTGGCGAGCGCAGGAGGCGGGGTTTCCATTGCTTTTCTAGGGTATTGCAGAATGCTTTCTAAAAATACTCAATTTTTGAAGAAGCTATGGGTTAAAATAGCCTCCACTTTTAAAGTTCTTATCAATAACACCTCTTTTGGTCTTCATCATGTTAGTTTTCACTATAGTACATTCATGTTTGGCTTCCTTTTGATTTGCTGGGGTAAACTGATGAGGGAATTAGGGTTATCTAATGTATATTCTATACGGCTCTGTAGCAGTTCACATTTGAAGGTGCGCGTAGCACCTGTCTGGAGCTCCTTAAACCAAAAGCATATTTTCCTGATCATGCAGCTGCCGTGCAATCCTGGGAAAAGGAGCTTTGGGTTTAGGGCATTACGAGCAGGCGTTACATGCATTCCTCCATGCACCCCAAAGCAGTCTTTTGCTTTTGAATCTGAAATGCTGCACAGTTCAAATATTTCACATGATTTATTTATACATACATACATCAGAAATGGGCAAAAGAAGTTCCTTTTTGTGGTTCTCATTGTCCCCAAAATCATACTGCTGATTTTCAGTGGCAAATTACTGAGAAACCGATGTTTCCTAACATTTTTGGTATAAAAACAAATGAAAGCGGTGCATAAATCCTTTGTTTATATGTGAAACCCTCCACATGCTGACCCTACCCACTTCAGTTACATCACCATCTTGCTGACTGTTGTCCTTTAGTCACCCTATCTACCCCTGTTTTGTATAATCAATGAAATGGGTTAGTAATCCATGAATCAAAATGTGGAATAATTTCATTCAAATCCAGAAAATGTCAGTTGTTCTTAAATGTTAGGTCAGGTTAAATGCCAATCATTTATGTTCTAAAAGTTCAACAGGATTTTAATGTGACTGACAGCACAATGCAATACATCGGTATTCAGAAAAGGATTAAAGGATTATTCCAAAAGAAGTATTTGCAGCCATAACTTTTTCAGTTCATTACTGTATTCCTACTAAAACCTCATAATCATAAGGATGTTAATCTTTCACATGGAAATGAGAAAGCTAATTTGTAGAAAGCAGTTACTTTAGACCTAAGTAGTATTTATGATTATTTTTGTGTGTAAAGATGGATGAATGAAGAAATCTACATTTAAAATGTTATGATTTGATCTAAACACAATATGGATTTGATTATATCTTCTATATCATGTGATTTATATCATTTTGGTAAATGGCCGATCAGCCATATGTGAACATATCTGATATTCTCCTTCTGTTTTTTCACAAAGGCTATGAATAATCCCCTCTTTTTTTTTTAACAGAAATATGTAACAGATGAATGCTTCTTCTTTGAACGCTTGGAATCTAATAACTATAATACATATCGGTCTCGTAAATATTGTGATTGGTACATTGCACTGAAACGAACTGGTCAGTACAAACCTGGACCAAAAACTGGACGAGGACAGAAAGCTATTCTTTTCCTTCCAATGTCTGCCAAGAGTTGACTTGAGTGGCAGAGTTTATAAAATATTGTGCAACAGCAATAGATGTTCCCCTCTCCATAAGACAAATTTATGTGACCTAACATTTTCCAGTCAACTGCATTTGCTGATTGATTTCAGATTATTACTGTGTAGAACTGTGTATATTTTAACATTGAAAATTCCTGGAACCATTTTCATTCTCCAGACATATAAGTGTGTTTGTGTGTGCATGTTTATGTGAATGTGGCATTAAGACATAGTTCCATTTAAATATTTCAGTTTAAGTTAAGTATTTCTAGTTAGATTTAATAATACTTTAATTTGATGGTTTGGGGATAGAATTAGACATTACATTCTGATTTGGGCTATCCAATGTAAAAAGTTTTAAAATATGCATAGTCTGGAAAGTCTTTATCATTTAAGGGTCATAATGATCTTTTTAAAAGATATAAACATGAATACTGATTTTAATCTGGAACAAATGACACAAACACAGACTTTGATTTCAAGTAATCTTAGATTACAAAAAAGATTAATTTTATTGCAACTCTGTCACATTTCTATAATTTTCTGGCAGCTCTCTGTGGTACAGCTTATAGAAAAGGCCTGTATACATAGCTGGGAATTCTCTCATAGTTATATCAATTTTATCAAACCCTTCCCGATATCCATACAGAAGTAATCTAGCTATATTGCTAGTGATTGGAGTAGTTTCTTTTGTCTTGGAAAGCTCAGTTAGGTCCATCCATTCACATCTCAGGCACTCCTGCTGGCAGAAACTGATGTGGAAAGAAGAAGGTTCCAGACGGCAGATTATGTACATATCTGACTTCCCAAAGGCTCCAGGTTGCCCGTGTTGCTGTCGCATACTTAGAATGGACTTGAATTCTGATGTTATGCCTGTCTCTTCAAAAACTTCTCGAACTGCTGTGTTCCCTAAGAGGCAGAATGAACTTAAATGCTAGTTTTAGTCAGAAATTATATTCGGGAGCTTGTAACATGGTCCCCATTCTGTTCTCTAATCCTTCCTGATCTTGTATTCTACCCTGGGAGATACACATTCAGCTTCCCCCCCTCAAAATATTAAATTGGATTTTTAAAAACCCTCATGCTGATCATCATTATAAAGACTTCCATTGTTGTAGAGAGTAAGGAAGATGACCTTGACGAGATACGTAGGAACCGTTGCCTAGATTGTTGTTATAGCCAATCTCAATAAAAATAGTTTTAACCTTTCTGTAGAATTTCCTGGTCTGGTCCACCAAATGGAGTTGACATCAGTCTTGCAAGTCTAATTGTGATGTATCTCCTTCCCCCTAATTCAGTGAATTAGGGAAGTGTCTGACTGAGCCACTTCCAAATGTTATCTTGTTGTTCTGGGCTTAAAAAATGCTTCAGCCTCTTTTGCCTAAGCAATGCCTCCTGCATATCTCTGTCAGCAGTCTGTTTCTGCCAGCAGTCATCTTCCTTACCCTCTACAATTGTTTATATTCTAAAATAATTATTGAAGCTACTTTAAGAAGGATATATATCTGAAATTTGAGAGCTTCTAGCACAACACAGTTGGTCAAAGTTGTTTATGCATTTTAAAACCTATGTACCATAATATTGTTTAACCATTTGTAAACTTAATAATGTAGTGCTAACAAACATAACCTAATGATTTTCCTTTTTTTTTTAATTTTCAGTGGAATGTAGACTTGTGAGTATACTGCTCTAACTAAGAAATGAGACACTATCAGCCTTTTCCAATATCTTTGGCAATAAATCTATTACTTGGCAATCACTCATTTAATTGTCATCAGGCTGAACTTAGGAGAAAGCCCTGAGTTTTACTAATTTTGCCTAAATACTGATGAAACAGAAACTTTTAATTTACCATGTTAATTGTCTGCCTCCCCTCCATACCCAAGATTTGTTCTCAAGGACTGGGAGACCCTCTGGAGCAGATTTGGGAGGGTGCATGGAACAGGAGAGCAAGAGAAACTCAACTGTGCAATTTCTGGTTAGATTGAAGCCACTACATTTCAATTTAGGATACATTATTGAGGGGAGTGAGCAGTACTAGCTACAATACAGCACATATACAAATGTTCAGGGTCATAGCAAAAAAGGTTATCCAGGAATATATTACTTGGGAGTAACCAAACAGAGCCATTAAACTAGTATATTTGGGCTTGTGTAAATGCTGCTGTAAATTTGCAGTGGCTCTGAAATATTTACCAAAGTGATGATGTTATAAACATTTACAAAACAAAGAAGCAGAAAATTAATGATGATTCAGCTTCCTGAATACTGCCTCACCCCCTCCAAATTAGCTGGGGAAACAGGCTTGTTGATTTTATTTACTTTCCATAGTAGCTTTGCATTTCAAATTAGTCGATACATATTTCCCAGTATTCAATCTCTTAAAGTTCTTCAAATTAGTAAAGTTATAATTGTAAATCAGTCAGAGAATGTTATACCAGGGTAGCCTATGTACCCCTAGAGTACAAAACAATAGTGTGGTTCAAAAACTGCCATCCTCCCACCCCAGTATAGGTGGCTTTGAGTTACTCTGCTGGCAGAGGAATGTTGTTGGGGGGGAGAAAGAGTTTTGCCATAGCAAAAACCTCTGTTGTGTGTGGGCAGGTACAAAGCTACTATGTGGGGGGGGGGAACTCTCCCAATGGGATGAGATGGGATGGGGAGGTTCTAACATTGTTTCTACCAAACTGAAAACTACTACTTCCCCAAAATGCAGAGTTTGGACCAGCAAGCCATGTTACTCCTGGAAATGGAACACCTCAGCTATATAGTTTTTTCCTCTCCCAAGTTCAGTTGGTGGCTGTGTGGGATTGAGGACTACAAAGATGGCTGGTTTGAAAACGATGACAAAGGTTGCCTGCTTCCCATGTATTTTATCCTCTCTGGTGTGAACACCAGGGCTTGGGATGCCACAGATGTTTCACTCTACTCTTTTCCCTCCCTGGCCACTCTTTACTTTGCTTTGCCTCTGATCTGCTAAATGAAAGCCTAGAGCAGGGTTCCTCAACCTTGGTAACTTTAAGATGGGTGGACTTCAACTTCCAGAATTCCCCAGCCAACAAGGCTGGCTGGGGAATTCTGGGACTTGAAGTCCATCCGTCTTAAAGTTGCCAAGGTTGAGGAACCCTGGCCTAGAGGGACCACAGTCATAAACCCAAGTAGTGGACAAAGCTGTGTGTTCCATGACTTATACTGTGAACTTTCATTGAGAAGAGACTTAACTCCTTTGCTACATAATATTATGATATTAACATTAAGTATGGTCAAAGATTTATGATCTCCAATGCTTATATTCAGAGTGGGTGCTTTAAAGTCACTATTGAAAGGTAAAACCCATGTGTCTCAAGTACTTAGAGGTTCATTTGAGGACAACATTCAGCAGCTGTTAAATTTAAAACCTCAGATTAATTTCCCCAGTCTGCCTTCACATGTGGAATAAAGGAGACATATACAAACATAATGATCTTATTGGCAAACCACGGTTTCCCTTTTCCTCTGTGCCATTACTTCTCTTTCATTTTTGAGGTAGCTAAATTAGGAACTATACTAATGGGACAGTTGTTATTGATGGTATCACTAAGCCGCTACTAAAAAGGCTGAATAATAAGCCATTTTTCAAATTGCTGTTTTGCCTATACTTAACCAAAACATCTCTTTAGCCTTCATGTAATAACAGCTATCTCTATAATTTAACTGGACAACACCCACATCAAGAATGAGATGAAGGGACTGTAAAAATCCATGGTGTGCTTCCAATCCATACATGGTTTTGTGGTCATATAGCACAATGAATCATGGTAATAGGCACACTGATATTGCCTATCCATTCACAACTGGCAATAAATCTATGGTAGATATTTATACTGGAGAAAATAACTTTAGTGAATATTCCTTATTAACCAACCACCCATTCTGAAAACATATGAATGCAATTTATAGTTACCAGGAACCTTCCAAATCTACTGAAAACATAAATCACATTACACTGTAAAGTTCTGAATATCTATGTTTATAAATAAATGTGATACTGAGATTTCCCTAATAATGTGCGAGGAAGACAATGGCAGACATTAGTAGTGCTATTTCTAATTCAGTAATTAAAGAATGTCGTTCTATACACAGGTGCTACTTAGCTTGAGAAGAGATTTGAACAGTAAGAAGTACTACTGCACACAATACATCCTACATGAGAAAATACAACTAGTACAAAGTATGCTAATTACTGATCTATTGGCAAAACATATGTTGACTGCTCTGTGTGCTTCAAAATAGATGAAACATATTTTGTGAGATGATAGACAATCCTTTATATGTCTACTGAGAAGTAAAACCCACTGTGTTGAATGAGAAAGTATGTATAACATTGCTGACAAAAATGATAGCTTGCAAACAAATATTCACTAAAATAGAAATAAATATAAGAAATGTTGAATGAAACATGCTATTATAATGGCTCTGGTCTGCCCTGAGCTTCAGTTCTAGTAACAGAATTCATATGCCCATGTTGTTTTCTTCGCTACAACACAGAGCCAGGTTGCCACTGTCTTTTTTTCAAGATGTTTTTCAATTTCTGGGTCTAGCTTATACCCTGGGATCTCCTGGTGGTCTTCCATCCATGTACTAACCAAATTTAGCCCTGATTAGCTTTTCTGAGATCACTTAGGTGCTGCCACATGGGGCGTACAAAATTTTGAGCTCAAAATGCACAGAACAAGCCAATTCGAGCTTAGAATGAACTTCCAATTTTAAGAAGGCTCATTCTGCTCATTTTAGCCAGAAAATTTTGCATTCCACTAGTTGTGAATATACTTGTAGAGATGTACATTCCTGCCACCTTTTACGTATAAATTAACATGTTTGTATGAAATAATAATAACACAAGCTGTTTTGATGCAGTATAGATTAATCCATTTACTCACAGTTAGAAGCTCCCAATCTTCATAAGGAAATTTCAACTAAATTCTGAGTATGACCACTTTGAAGGACTTGCACAGCCTGTTTGAAGTTTGCTACTGAAATGTCCAAATCACAACTAAGTTCTCGAGTCTGCAGGTACTGGCACCAACTCACAACTGATGTAATTATTCCAACAGCCACATACTTACCAATGTCTTCACCTGGTTCAGATAGGCCTCCTGGAAATTTCCATGCATTTGTTGTCTTAAAAGAAATAAAATGAACTCATCAGCTCACGCCTTACTTTTTCCTTCTGTGTGGAAGAAGAACTAGAGTTGACTAGTCTTTATTTATAAACTTGTTTTTGCAGAT